TAGCCGTGCAGTAGAAGTAGGGGGTGGGCAACCGATGAAGCTAGGAACTTGACTTCTGTCAAGAACAAAGATTTGCGCCGTCAAAGCCAAATTTTCATTTGGCATCCAAATGCGGACTCTGCCTTGACCATACTGTTCTACATTGTATTGCAGTGGCCACTGATGATGATTAATTAAATAAGGCAAGGTATTTGAAGAGGTCAGTTCGAGACAGCCGATCTCAATAAATGACGAATCTGTCGCCACTCTAAGTTTTGTCCCCTGTGAGCCCTTTAATTTTTCGTTGAGAAATTTGCCGTAAATTGGTTGACCGATCAAAGTGCAGGTTTGCATTCAACTGCCTTACAAATAGTTATGAAAGTAACTTATTGACAATGTCTCACAATTATGACAATGAAATGCTGAAACAAATTCATTTCGGTTTCAGGTTTCGGAATCAATGCTCATCTCTACCCGAAGTACACACCGAAAAGCTTAGCTGTCATGGCCAGCGTCAGTGAGAGTACTCATTCGTCATCCGAGTATCCGCCCACCGACCCGCTACTGCCAAATTCAGAGTCGTATGCGATGTATCGCGACGACGGCATTGAGGAGCATCGCTTGGACGAAAATGTATTTTCTGACTGACCTCGCGACGACGCATCGAACGCCACTGATCTCCTGGCCGTAAGTAGCGCCCGGTCGAAAACCTTATTGCCGGTATTAGACTTCGCCGACCAGCGGCGGCCACTAGGATCGACTAAACAACAGTCGAGTGGTCGTCGATGTCGTGCCTGAGTGGCTTTACGACGAATTTGGAAATGTCTGTGAAGAAACAAGGCATGGCAACGACGTTCCTCCGAGCCGACCGTTGAAGTTCTCCATGGCTGTGAAAATAGCAAACGAACGGCAATGAGCGCCTCATATTGCTACAAACCTGAATTCCAAACATTTTTCTGATGAACTGATGTTTTTTCGAGCAAAACTTTGCGCGACTTGTGTCCTTTAACGAAAATTTATTTTCTGAATAAAAGT